TATGCAAACGTAATGCAATTATTCATTAATTGCATAGTCATGCAACAGGTTAAGAATAAAAATCAAATAAATATGTAAGTATTAATCAGATTAAGCAAAACATAAATATTCAGAGACAACATTCAGTCACCATGTCAGAGAACGACTAGTCATACTCACTTTACTGTAAACATAGATCAGGTCGGAAATGTTTGATGGTGAATTCCCTGAAAAACGGAGTAAAACTGGTGTTGGTTAACTGTTTTAAATGCATTTCTTATGTCTACTGTCCCAAAGATGCCTGGCGATTGCACATGTGACAGTGGTTTTCTAAGTGACAGTTGATTTGTTATCTCATCTCCTTTAGCACTCCTCTATTCCCCTCAATTGGTCACATTGTGGAAATCGCTAAACTCAATCACAAACCAAACTCTAACTTTGAATTCTCAAGGTAAAAGGGAAAGTAACTGACCAAATAACACGTGGGGCCGGAAATCGGAGGCCAAAATCAAAAGAATGAGCAGTACTTGACAACAACCAAAAAGAAAACCTCAGAATAAAGTTGGTTGGAGATTCTTGATCAGCGGCTTATGTCCCATGAGGGGTGATCTTTATTCAAACATTTTCTGTATGATACACCTAGTCGCTGGTTATTTTTAAATGATTATTACCCTACAGATTGTTTTACACCATGGATAAACAGATCCTTAGTTTGTGTGTATTTTCGATAACTCTGGATAATTAATTAATTTCACATTTTTTGAAATTATTTGACAGAAAGTTATCTAGAAAAGCATTCTGTGTAATCAATTTCTCTCTTGTTTAATTCTAATGAGCTTAGTTTTATTTCACGTCTAAGAATCAAATCGCATATAGAACTTCATAACATTTTTATGGATCTATAATCATTTTTAAGTCAGAAAAACGTTACTATCTAAAAGGGTTATATAATCTGGATTCATTTACTCTCATACAAAATCGTCTCATTTAATTAACAGTTAGTAGATGTTTTTGATTAACAAAATTCAAATAATCTAATAATCTCATTAAAAGTTTCCAAATGTAGATAAAACCGGATTAAAATAAATTGTTCACAGACACGAATGATCTCCATAGACTTAATTTTGAATTGACATAATCTTTAAAAAGGAAAATGATATTCAAGATAACTGTGCAGTGCTTCCAGGTTTTCCATGGTGATCTAGCTTCAATTAACTCATGATTTCAACTATTGAAATAACTGTATTTGTTGGATTTTTCTATAAAGATTATTCATTTTGCCTAGGAATAGTATAAATTATTCATTAGAATGTACATCTTATGAGATGTATATTAAGAGGTAAAATAAATTTCTTATTTTTTTTGTTAATACTTGTTAATATTTTACATTAAACTTAAAAAATTTGCTCATTCTATCCAGTTTAATTTAGATGACAAATGTTTTATTCTTTTAAATTGTATAGATTACCATTCTAAAATGATTAGTTTGTTCTTTTGTTTGAAATTATTGTTTCAAATCTTATAAATACATAATTCTTTATGTTCACATTTTGGAGACAATCGCTTCCCTGCTGTAAAAGAATTTCTCATTTAAATAAGAGACAATGTTTAGTTAGGTAATTCATATGAACAGTTTGTATGTGTACATAAGTATTGAATTATAAAGTAGAGAGAAACAAATATCCAGGTCTTTTTTATTGTCAATGGTCATTGTGAAAGGTATCCCTAGTGACTTATTTATTATGAGTACAAATATGACATTTAAACATAAACATCTGATAAAAAGCAGACTTTTACTCATTAAACAAACTTTCATCTAAGTCGGATCAATGATTGTTAAATTAAAATTGTATTACATAGAAATTGTGCTTGTTTCGTGTTCCTCATAAGGTTTTAGTCAGGATTTCTTTCCAATACTGTATATATATATATATATATATATATATATATATATATATATATATATATATATATATATATATATATATATATATATATATCAATGATTATTGATTTATGCTGGTTTTACATCATTTTGTTACACAACTTTAAACAATTCATACAAGGTATTCTTTCATAAGGTTCCATATCAAAGCCCTGAAATAGTTTACACTAAATTATAGAAGAATATTCGGATAACCAACTGTACCCACCTATCTGTATGAAGTCCCAGTAAAAATATATTGCCATTTGGTTTCAAATATATGATATTAAGCATTCAATGCTGAAATCCCGATAAATTTGAGCATTCATAATTTTGTTTTCACTAAATTTTATAAACGACGTTAGAATATAAACGGTAAAATTGTTCTACTCTCAATAGTATAATCCCGAAAATTAGTAATGTGTAACCTAATTTACTGCTTTACAATCAGGCTTCAGTATTTAAATGAAATTTTTGCTAGTATTCATCATTTGTGCGCAATTATTATGCGAACAAAACTATGGTATCACAGTAAACATTTGAAATCATTAAAATCTAAACTTTTCAAGGTTTTTATTAGATTTTTTATTTAAACAATAAATAATTTTATAGATACAAAACAGCTTTGAATATTCAATTATTTTATATTTTATCGTCCACACAAGTTGAATGGCGGCTCAGTAGTCTAGAGGTTGACAGATCACGCGCGAAACCAAAGATTGTGGGTTTGACTCTCGGGAGCGGAGTTGTGGTTGCGCACTACTGATGAGTTCCACAATAGGACGAAACTGCCATTCAGGATTTTATTGGTGGTCTAACTTGGAACGGTTCAACAACCTCATAATCTCACACCAATAATCTTACATATATTGTTTAAATGCATATTAATAATTTCTTTTATTTGTGTACACAATCTACAGAAAACTAGGCGAGGCTGTGATCGATGGGGGAAACTATGGGAATAAGGATAGACGCTCTTGGATTTTGACCCGAAATTCATTCATCCATGTATTTAGATAGCATTTATGCCCCATAGTTGATGTAAGTCATATTATTCTCTTTGGATATGTTGTTTATAAACGGTGGTGTCAGCCATCTGATATATTCTATCAGATGTCTGCAAAATGTTGATTCAGAATGTATGAATCATTTCTTCGAGTAAATTTATCATTTCAATCATCTCAATCATGTAGGTATTTTATCAAATAAACTTTGTTCCATTAATATTAGTTACTTCAACTGTGACCATTTAAATTTTCCATTATAAAAAGTGAGAATTTGAATGGTAGTTTAATTCGTCAATGAGTTTAATAAAGGCTTATGGATTAATGAAAACAACAAACTATAATTAATTATAATTCTAATCGTACAATTACAAAAATTTTGAAGGTAACAAGTATAAACGGTTATTTAATCTCTCTTCACAAGTATCGTTGAGTTAGAAAGTTTAATTTTCAGCTGACATCAACATGACAACACTATTAAATTATAAATTTAATAGTGAATAAATCAGTTATAATTTTCAAGATAATGACGTCAAGTTTATGCTTAATTTCTTTAAGTAAATCATTCTATTTGGTTATGCACATGTACTAAGAATACTATGGACTTAGACTGCATTAATTAAGAAAGTTTCTATACATATAATGTTTTCATGATAGTTACTGAAATCTTTCCATACTTAATTTCTACAAGACGATAGTGATGTTGATGACAACAATCAAGAAATCCACATTTAGTTGTAAAGAAAGAAAATAAACAATTATATAATCGAAGCAAGAAAAAAACTAATAAACTGTTTACTTTGTTCGTCATTCTCATGTTATATATGAATGATTCAATTCAATCGACTTGCAATAAGAACACGGAAAAACATGGTTTAAAAGTTATAAAAGTTGTATATGTAACTTAAGATTACTTGATGCTTTTATTTACTGCACATCATTATCATATTGTAAAGTGGCTCACAAGAACCAAATGTCAATTTGGTCATAATACAAAAGATGTGGATTGTTTTCGCGAGTGGGGAAAGTCAGCTCTCCATCTCTAAACGCTCTCACATGACCACACGGATACAGCCACTGCAAGGGAAGTTCTACTCACTGTCTTCTTGTCGTGCGGATTTGTTTACGACATTGAGAGGAAGAAAAGCGAATGTCCGGCTCGTTAACCGGCTTGGTGGACACGGAGAGTCTACCTAGGGGAGTCGGAAAACCCTGATTCCAAACTGTTGGTGAACATGGGCTCCGGCATCCTGAAGGAACAAATGGCATATGAACCTATTGTTGGTCAACGGATACCATGTGACTACATCTCCTTAAGTTGTTCCACTGCCTTTTGCATGAGACCTTTGGGTCAAAGGCTCGGGGAGTGGCCCCCTAAGAAACAAAATGCTTCAGTTTGGACGCCAAGACAGTATCCTATCCCTCACACAAACTAAATAATTTTTGTGGCGCATATATACTTGGTGCTCCCATGTACTAATGTTTATGTGTTTAAATAAGCTTTAGATCAAACTGTAACAGAATTAAAACAAAAAAGTAATCCTGTTAAGCAGTGAATAATGTAAAACGTATTGATGAAAAGTGACAATTCCATTAATTGCATAGGCTTCATTTGTGTTATCGATTTATTTCGATATTATTCAACAATCAATTACCATTGATAATTATTTTATCTTATTATTGACCAAATTATCTCTTCAATATGCCGTACACAATACTATCATCAACATTTGAAATTTTGGACTAATTTTGAAACCGGAAATTACACCTATTTACTGTGTAGCCTGTGTATATAAACCCACGTTTTAAATAATTTTCTAATTTTAATTATATGACCTTAGTAGAATACCACTAACCGATTGGTTGAATTCAAATAAACCAATTATCCAATCAAATGAAGGGCAAAAGCATAATAATAAAAATTCACTGTGAATCAGATTGCATTTCATTCCCTATGCTAATCATCAATTTGTATTATTATAGAGGAAATGTTTACATAAGTAAATAATATAACTGATTACATGAATAAATCTACTCCCATTATTTAAAAAAATAACTGATGCTTACATAACACAATTACATAGATTATTGAAATGACAGAGGTTATGATTAAAAACCCCACTGCAAAGTTTCATAAACTTAACTACATTATAATATTAACACTTACTATTATCATCACCTTACCTACAATCTTTAGTGATCAAGGTAAGTAAAACATACTGTTTGATAATCGAAATGATGTTGTGTATAAAATGTGATTGTATGTTTTAAAGGTTGATTTATTTTTAGAGAAAAAAAGACATGATCATTAACTGTATGTATATTTATTTCAAGATATATAAGAGGTATTGATATGGTGAAAATTCGTAGATAAAAACTGTCTTGATATCGTTTGCAATATATATAAGTAAACTGGTTTTCTCATGTTATGCAATCTAAATAAAGAAAGCTAAAAAGTTTTGTTTTTTTAATAAGAATAAATTAATGTTTAGATCATCAGTCTTAATGAAATTAAATGGATAGATAAGACTGTCAATAGTAATAATTCATGCTCTAACTCAGCTCCAGGTAAACAGTCACAAGGTTGTAACTCTCTATATGCAGTGTTATTATCGAATACACTGAAAATATATTCAATGATATTGAATTTTTAGTTGGATCAGTTATCAGGAAATACAGCATTTCTTAAACGCTAGTTGGGAGAATAAATCTGTATCCTACTCTTATGGACCAAAACTTATACTAAATATCAATATTACCAAGATTTTCATTCTTAAGAGCAACTGCAAATTATATAAAAATGGATCCTTTCCTGGTTTAATAACCAGTAAGCCTTAAACCAGTTTTCTCACTCCATATTGGTACGCTTACTACAGATTATTCTGTATGTAACAGTTTTAGTTTTTGGTGATTAGTTTCATTTGTAGATATTTTTTTATTTTATCATGGACTGATATAATCTACAAATCCAGATGCGACACTGATAGGAGAAAAAAGGGCTGAAAGATTTCAAACAAAAATAAAACAGCTGCTCAGTGTATCTTGATTTTTAAATGGTTTTCCAGATTATATTAGTCTGCCAGAAAATTGCCTTAAAAGATTTTACTATCGTAAAACTATTTATGATTACTGATTTATTTTCCATCAATACTGGTTTATTCTTTTTTCTCAATTATTTGAATTGTGTGAATTAGTGAAACTTTAGTAAAACTAACAGCTTAGTTAAGTAATTTATGATATATCAACAATCTAACACATTTACCCACGTCTACTTTTGTAAACACAGTTCATTAATCGGTTGTATTAAGTACAGTATATTTCATTTGTGTCTAATATTTTTACATTGTTAGGGGTGATATTGTTGGAAAACAAATAGCAATGGATTGTTTGCAAAACTCATTTTATTTCATTAGTATCAATAGAATTAATAACAAATAGACGGAATTTTGTAATTTATATCATGTACTAATCTCAGTTAAATAATCGTCGAAAATAAGGATGTAATAAACAGCTGTTTCATCCGAGTATATGATTCATAAGCAAGGTGTACCCACGGCCCCACTAGAAGTCGAACTCAAAACCTTCAGCTCTCGTTGTGAGCTCTGAACTTATTTACCACTGAGTTGAGGTCTATTGGTTTACTTTCTTAATTTTAAGAGATTCGCAATATTGCACAATCATTAATCAATGATATTTATGACTAACTGCTACACAATTGACAGTTGAACTCTACTGATCACAACTTCTTACTAGAACTCACGTAATTATTTTTTAAAATTAAGCACTACTGAGCCCAGGAATTTATATATTTAAATAAGTATTACAAATCTGAAGTCATCACCTTCTGTTTTGTTGAATGTCATAAAGTTGGTTCCTTGCTGCCCAACTGTTGTTTAGCTTTTACTAAGTAGCATAAAAGAAGAACTTAAATACATTTATCGGTTAGCAAACATGACTTAGTTTTCTTCTTATCTGAATTCTATTGTTTTATCTAATTGTGTATTTCATCTAACATTTAAAACTGTTTTTTTTTAAAGATTTTAGTTTATCGATAAAAAAACGGTTCATAATTCATTGTGTTTTTCTCGTTAACAGTCGGAAATTTGTAATTGAAAAGTGCAAAATAAATGTTGTAGTAACTTTTTTTAAAACACTCTATGAAATACTATTTATACATACTTTCTTCTAACGGTTTTAGGATTTAAAAAATAATAATATATTTCTAGGAACTAAGTATGCTGAATAATGGGATTAATCTTATTCAATGGTCTAAAAGTATACTGTAATTGTGAATAAATATCTTTAGATCGAAAAATCGAAATTATAACCTTTGACAAATAAACTGTTGATACAATAACATTTGATGAATAAGTTGAATAACATTCCAGAGTGAATTTAAACGATTGTACTTAAGTAAAAACAAAACATACTGTTGGCTAGAAAACATATCATCTAAAAAGAAAATGTTGATAAATAACGAACAGTTTCAATCTGTTTATATCATCCTGTAAAGTATGTAAGACTAGGAGTCCAAAGAGAGTCATAACACTCTTCATTAATATAAGTACTATGTTTTGATCGTATCGACTGTAATTGTTTTAAACAATCAAATATTCGAATATCTTTACTTAGCTTAAATCTGCATTATTCATGACTTCGTAATCTAAATTTAATATTGTCTATGACAACATATTAATGATAAAATTTTTTTATCCAAATGGTTAGAATAGCTGAATTTTGTTGGCCTGGTTTTAATCACCGCTTCACAGTATAAATGATTAAGTAAACTGAATAAATACGAATTTATGTAGTGTTAATTTATTCACCGAAGAAGCAACTTAAATTAGGTTGCGAAATGTCAGAAATTCACTTTTTCACCTTTTACAAATATATTACTATTTTATTGTCATCAACAACTCATGTAGTGTTTAATCTATTTGAAACTATCAAATAAAACCTTAGTAGTAATACTTATCATCTTCTGTTATGATCAAATGATAAATAGATTTACTACTGAAAATTATATTGAGAGTTTCAGCGATAAATCCTATCAAATTGCGAATGGGAATAATTTTGGTTAGGGTTAGGATTACATATACAATTGAATATAAGAAATTAGGCTCATTTCATGCATGGCATTTATTTTACCTATGGGAAATTTTATTTAGAAAACAACCAGCCTCAAATAATAAACAGCAATTCATGTTTATAATTGTTAACAAACATACTAAAATGTTTGTATAGCTAAGCTTTATATTTGATAGACACAGTTTAGTCGGTATAGTTAACAAGATTGAATGATTTTGTCATATTTTTAGTGAGTGATCACTTTATAGTAATAGTAATAATAACTATCTTATGTATGACTAATAAAAAATCACTAGTCACAGTTCATAGGACAATTAAACAATGACCATATTGTGTTGATAATTATGTCTAGATTATTAAGTTTACATCTGGTAATCATTCAATAAATCATCAGGATAATATTTGGTATATGAACAAACGCTAAGACGGTTCCGTTTGTTAAATAGTCAACTAACTAAATTAGATTTTTTTCTCTTGAAATCAATAAAAATCAACAATATCACAAAGGAATGGAAGGAATTTTAAATTTCCTAACAGTAACTTAGAAAGCTACTTCAAAAGTTTGTAGAAATGTTAATTATGATAATGTACAAGGTTAACAGTAGTGTATTCAGTAGACAATAAATTCATAAATCGCTTTTTTCTATTTCAGTCTCTAGACACAAATGTAGCTTGTTTAAGCTTTTAATATAAGATTTTTGGGATACAGACTAATGCGTTAATTTATATTAATTGATTTTCTTTTCTAATTCATAATCTAATCGGACTATCAGTAGTATTAAGTATAGAACCTGATACAAGTGGTTCAATTGCATTTCGCATAATAATAAGAAAGTATTTCTGTAAAAAAAACAAGTTTAGTTAAGAGAGAAGAAACTTTGGATTAGAAAATTATTTAAACACTTCAAAACAGTTTTTTAGGTTATAAAACTAGGTATCCAACAAAATAACAAGATTTGCGAAGAAAAATGGTTTTGACAGTACTGAGAAAACAATAATATTGTTTTTCTTTTGACAAAATGGTTAAAAAATATATCAGAGAAATATACAACTCTAAGTTATTGACAGTCACCGTACTAATATGCATTACACTTACTTTGCAATATTTATCTTGGTAATATATTCGCAGAACCATTTCATCTAACAATGATTTAATCACAATTCATTTCTTCAGCTCAAAGGTAAGGTCGTTGAAACAATCCACCTGAATTTATGGGAATGGTCCCGATCGAAGCTGCTACCTTGACGCGGTGATCGGGCTTGCCTATCGTGATGACCCAACCGAGCTATATTGGCTGGAACATATGTTCCTGCAGGTTCTACCATGCCAGGCAGGTCGATTGGCGAACGGTAAGACTAAAAGCAGCAACTCAAGGTCTGAGGGCGAAGTCGTACTGCTGACTGTAGAGAGGTGTGACAGCAGTAAGGTGTTTCCCTCGGACAACCAGCATGACAGCGATGCTGCCTTCCCACAAGGAGGGGTGGGGTTAGAAAAGGTCGACCCTAAAAATGCACACCTCACCTTACCTCACGGATTTCCGTCTCCGGCGGTAAGGCCCCTTGAAGAACGGAGCTAACACGTCAAAAACCTTCCACAAAAAGGCCGTGCGCGACCGGCCTCAAGCAGTTGTCCCTTGGGCTCTGCGGTCACGCTCCCAGGTCGTCAAGACCAACACTAATCCAATTTCCTTTTCAGGTTCCTCAAGAAATACCCTTCCACGGTGTGGGCAGCCGGGAAGTGACATCAGCCCTCATACCCGTAACAGCACAAGAGACCAAGGTGGTCACATTCAAATCCTTCCTACACCTCCTAATACTTCTCTTATCCTCCCGACTAACCCTCCTCACGTCTCTTTATCACCTCGCACCGCTAGGGCAAACGATTCGAGTACGTGGAACGCCATTCCTGGTCTCCTGAAACCACGCTCTAAACTACACGTAGGAGCTTTTAACGTACGAACACTTTGCCAAATAGGACAGCAGGCTTCCTTAGCTAAAACTTTAGAATCTCGCGCCATCGATGTGTGCTGCGTCTCCGAAACGCGCATACAGGATCCAAGTAGCGTCATTCATTTGACCTCACCATGCCAAAATAAAGAACCGACTCGATTTACGCT